ATATTTGGCAGGTAGGTTGTTTGAAGGAACTCAGAGACCTTGCCACAGTTCATTTGTGGATTTAGGCTGTTTTGGTGGTGTTCTTGTTTCTTCATGTAATCCCAGATTGACTCCATGATTAAGGCTATGTGTGGGCCAAACATCTGTTGCAGCACGCCATGTTTTATAAAAAAAATTTGTTCTTTATGAGTCTGGCTGTAAATGTGGGGTTGCTGTCGTGCTGCTCAGTGAATTTGAAATGCTTCAGACACCATCCTGATATTAATGTGTGATAGATAAGACTCTAAACAGCTCAAATGTGTCAGAAGCGTTGGCCTCGATACTGGATGCAGTATGATTTCCAACTCTAGGAGGCTTAAATTAGGTTAATGTATAAGTTAACATGACATTTTCTTCTCTGTATACACTAGGATCTGGATCAGAGACCTCAGAGCCAAGCGGAAACTAAAGGCTGGGTGTCTTACAGCTCTTTCTTCATAAACATTGGAAAGTGTTTACTCTTAATCATCATCATCCCTCCATTCCTCAACTATGCATCGCTGCAAAGAGAAGGACAGATGCTCTTGCCCAAAGGTTCTTTCTTGTTCCTTTTAGTTTAATTTTATATTAATGTGCAACACATTTATTCAGTGTGTTGGGAGTTTGTCACCAGGTTTATAATGTTTCTCAAGCCAAATGACAACATTTCTGTGAAGTGTTTGTTTTTATCCTTTTTCAACCCTTTTTCCCTCTTCCTTCAGATGGCCAGATTGTTGATGTTGGTTTGGGTCAAAAGATGCATCTTTTATGTAAAGGACAAGGAATACCAGTGGGTAATAAAACATTTTTGCATAATTGTCTTGCCACTTGTTTTTATGTGTTTTAATTGAGCTCAGCCTAACTAGGTTGTTTTTTCTCCATTTTTTTAAGTCATACTGGATGGACCAACTGGAATGTCCTCAGACATTTGGGTTCATGTCCAAGAAAGTGTGGCCACACTAACAAAGGTGGATTGTGTTGAAGAGCTGTATATTGAAACTAGTCACCAAACCATTATTGTGTTTTTATTATTCTGTTAAAACAAATGAACTCATCAGAACTGAATATCTTTGATGAATCCTAGTGATGAGATACACTGAGGGTGAGTTAGCATGTGGCTGTTGGTTTGCCTTTGACCAAGAATTTCCACCGTAGAGAACTTTTCATGAAATCTGCTTTTTCTAATGGGGCCATGTTGTTTGTCGTCAGGGTCATGTAGGGATAGCCCTTTCTGCGGCTCTGCCGCATCATCTCTGCTCAACAAAGACTCAGCGCAGCAGAAAGTCAGAGCTGACAGGCTGTCCCATGTTGTTTGTCTGAAATGTGTTTACTGAGAGCATCTCATATGTATGTAGAACATAGTATCATTTAAAAAAAAAAAAAAAAAACCTTCTGAACCTGTGCTGTCCCTGTTTGTTACACTGCTCAGGTCTGTACCTATGACAGAATGGGACTGGGTTTCAGCAAGCGGCTGATGGAGAATGAAACCACAGGAACTGAGAAAGTCTGGGGGATGTCAACAACTGGGCGGTGAGCATTCCGCTTTAGCTGGCAGTCAGACTGAGTGCTTGTAACATGTGGAAAAGTTAGGAAAACACTTTATTTAATGGCTGTATACAAGGTCTACACTGTAAACATAATGTCAGCATCACTTTGAAATGTGTTCTTTCATTGCCATGAAGTGGTTTCTGAATGAGTACCACAAGCCTATTTCTTATTGACTTGTTGTTGCTTGAGCACTTGTTGTTGCTCAGTTTGAAAAATTAATCTGTGAAAACTTTAAATAAGACCAGTACTACACAGTGTATATTGTGTGGTGCAGGAGAATCTACGTGTGATAAGTGCTGATTGTGAACAGCCAGAATCTGCTGTGGAGTTTTTATTCATATGACACAGACCTGCTGTAATGGCACCTCTTCTACTTCTGTGGTGACCTCCTGTATGGCCTAAGTCGGTTCAGGACACTGCAGTTTAAGGCTATAGGAGGAACATGGTTTGGGGCTGTGCCAGGGTGGAGACAAGTTATATACAGTACCTTCAACTGAGGCTGCTGATGAAGGTCACAGATTGCTAACGGAATGTCTGTTTCACATCAATCTTATTTGAGCTTAGTAGGCTGCCACTAAAGTTGAACAGTCATTTTTTATTGTTGATACATCATATTATTTATATTTTATAAGTGCCCTGTTGCGTTTTCTTACCAACAAAGTTATGTTTACATTCAGCATAATTCACCAAAACACCCCAAGGCCTAACAACTATGTTGAATACTTGGTTTTTTAAAACATTTTTCGAATACCTTAAGTTTTGCATTGTTTACAATCATTATTTGCTGCTCTGCAGTCTTCTGCTTTCTAATCTTTTTTTTTTTGGCACAAAAATTAAACTACAGTAATGCACCTCACATTTACTGTAGTTGTATTATTTTGCCACTATAGAGTAAACTTGCCTCCGGTAAGTTTACTCTACAGGACCGGAGGGTGTGTTCCAACTATAGGGGGATCACACTCCTCAGCCTCCCCGGGAAAGTCTATGCCAGGGTACTAGAGAGGAGAATTTGACCGATAGTCGAACCTCGGATTCAGGAGGAACAATGCGGTTTTCGTCCTGGCCGTGGAACACTGGACCAGCTCTATACCCTCTTCAGGGTGGCG